TTAATATCTTTTGTCTCCTAAACTTGTCAAAATGAAAAATCCAATAGATTTCTTCTCTTCCTCACAGTAGTTAGTTCCCTCATGTGGTGTTGTATGATACTTCAAAGGTGGTGTTTTTGTTTCTTGACCAATAATACTACTCCCTCTGTCCCGATTTATGTGAAGCACATACCTTTTTACTCGAACAATACCTTTTTATATTAAGAAACAATTTAACTTTAAACTTCTTATTTTACCCTTAATTAGATGATTTATAGCCACACAAATATCTATGGCTTGTTTTAGACCACAAGTTTCAAAAGTCTGTCTTTCTTTCTTATATTTTTTGCCAAGTCAAACAACATCACATCGAATGGGACTACTAATTTGTGGACATCTTCATGAATTAATAATGACTTGTGAATATATGGATATGAGAACAACTTGAAAGAATATTTGTTGTGCCTTCCCTACCAAGTTTTTTTTTACTACAGAGGCAATGATTTTATTAGTTTAAAAAGTATATAGTCCCTCCTGTAGTGATGTTAGGATTTTGTCAACATGACTGCTTCATATATATTCCTGAGGTTGTCCCACCTAACTAAACACTTGACTTCTCTCTTTCCACGTAACCCACAAAACATTGGCAGTACAGTGATCCATATCTTCTTTTACATTCTGAAGATGTTTATAATAACCTTTATTTTTTATTGATTTCTTCTATAACTGAGAAATCCATTATTTCTAGCTTTGAATGGGCTCCTTACTCTACACTTCTCCACTTAAATACCAGGGGTTGGTGCACTGGTCAATATTTAAGCTCCTAACTAAACACTTGACTTCTCTCTTTCAACGTAACCCACAAAACATTGGCAGTACAGTGATCCATATCTTCTTTTACATTCTGAAGATGTTTAGAATAACCTTTATTTTTTTATTGATTTCTTCTATAACTGAGAAATCCATTATTTCTAGCTTTGTATGGGCTCCTTACTCTACACTTCTCCACTTAAATACCAGGTCTTGGTGCACTGGTCAATATTTAAGCTCGTGACATGTGCCTACTCCTCATCCTGCTCTATAATACCTTCGCTGTAAAATAACCTTTATTAGTGTGAGATGATAGGCGATGCAAAAGTAGATGATCAGGTGTTTCACTTAGATTTCAAATAGCAGTCCTCCATCAATCCAATCACCTTTTTGAGAAATACGTTGTCAGAGCTCCTTTCACTCAGGTAGCATTTGCTGCAAAGTGTGATCTCTCTTCTTTGCAAATTCTTCTTTCAAAAGGCATCATGAGCAACCACCAATATGAAACAAGCAAGCAACCTTAGTTGGGGCTATAGTTTATTCTGTTCAGTATTTGGAGAGGTACTTGGGAACTTCTAACCTGACTTGACTGAAAGAATTCTATCCTTTTGCTCGACCATCCCAGTGTGCTGTCTATTTCCCAGTCTAAACAGTCTCCTAAACAGAGTTCCCAGCCATTAGCAGTTAGGCAATGAGCTACAGCTGTCTCTGTACATGTTTGCGCCAAACATGAATATATCAGGCAATTGCTGTTTAAGAGGAGTATGTCTGAACCATGAGTCATGCAAAAAGGATATTCTTTTTACGTTTCCTACCCTGAAGCGAGTCTTTTCAGAGAATTTATATCCTCATAGATTTCTAAGAAACTTCTATACCAACCCTATAATAGCCATTACCAGTCATCAAGCAAAATGATTCTGAGAGCCAAGCTTTGCTTGAGTAAGCATCTCTTCTTCTCTGCTGGCACCTAAGGATACATATATCTTTTTCCAGTTTGAAAGATTTTTCCCTCTTTCTATTATACTTTCCGTCCTTTTTAAATTCATGGCTTGCACCAAGGCATTCCCACATAAGTGTTTGGGGGGGTGGGGGGGACCCTAACCTGAAGCCTGATATGGCTACCATCTCTAGCAGCTCCAATCTGTATTGACCGGGCAAGGTTAGACAATTAGACTGTAATATGGCCTTCAGAGCCATAAGAAACAAGAATATGTAGAGCCCTTGGCCACTCAATTGCATTGTGTCCCCTGAAATAGACGATCAAGATTTGTTTATACTTCCCTAAAGTAAAATTGGAATGGTGTATGGCTGATTGACTTGCTGGGAGAAGATATTTACTCCACTACTGCTTTTTGTTTGTTGCACACTCATCTAACTAGAAAAAACTAATACTTGCGTCATGTTTTCTTTTCTCAAACTATACCATGTTCGAGAGCAAGACATTAAATATGCTGTCTGGAAGCAATAATGCTTCATGATACATGGCTGCTAGAGCATTGGATATTCTGTATTTGCGAACTACCAAACCTTTATTTAAAGATCTAGGGAAGTTTTAGTACACAACAATTTTGAAGGAACAAAATAAATTTAAGGACCAACTAGGGTTGTGGTAGAGTGGTAAATACTCCTTCATCCTTAACCAGAGATCTTGGGTTCGAGCCCTGAATATGAAGTCGCCTTTGTTAGAGAGCACTTTACCCCCTAGTGTGGGACTTCCCTGCGTAAATCTGGATTCGGTTATTGCTTTTCTGCTTGGTGCCTAATACTTGTCTGATCTAAAAGGTTTCGTTAGTTCCCTCTTCCCGCTTGTTGCATATATATCACCCCTCTTCTTTCTTGTTTATACTTTCACTATTTGTTGCTTATGATATCAAATCATGCTATTCTTAATCCGCTGATTTTGTATTAATGCAGGGATTGGTGGCTAGGAGAATATTGCCAAACAAAGGTGTTACATTAGGTGAAAAATTTGGTGTAGAATCTGAATCAATGAATTTTGCGTACTTCTATAATTATATGAAGTTAAGAGAGGTTAAAGAATTGGATATCCTTTTGTAGGGCTAACTGGAGTGCCTGTTTGAAGGTCTAGAGATAGAAGTTTACAAGATTTTTTGCTAAAGGTTTTTGTTTTTTGTTTTGAGTTTATGTCTTTAGGAATTCCCTTTCTTTTTCCCTTGAGTGAGGTGTAAAATCAGATTGCGGCGTATAGTCAGAAATGTATCATGCATCTCTGGTGAGGCAGCGATACATACACAACAAAAATAGACAGAAAGTTTTGCGTAAAATGTTTAGATTTAATGTTTTTTTTTTTTTTCTGCAGTAATGTTGCTGCAAAGTTGCAGATTCTTGTCTGGTAATTTGTTTTGCTTTGTAGTTTTCCCTTAAATGGGATTTTTCCTTTATCATTTGAATGTAAGGGAGGTTGTTGATTTAGTGTGATACATTTTAGGGATACCCATCTAGGGTCCCCCTAATGAATAAATTACTATATACTTTGATGCTCATTTACTTATTATCATTTGAATTCAGAATCTTGCACATATTGATGTACAGTATATATCATTCTGCTACAAATGAACCAAAAAATGCAACTTCTTTCTTTGAATCAAATAAGTCTAAGAAATTTAGAGAATGCCAAATTAATGTGTATTACTACTTTAGAAGTTTTTTAATTTCATGTGATATTTTCATTCCCTTTTTCACACTTTCGAAACATAATAATAACATTAAGGGTGTGTTTGGTACGAAGGAAAATGAGTGATTTTATTACTTATTTTTTCTTGTTTGGTTGGTGAGTGAAAAACTTTTTTATTTTCTAGTGTTTGGTGAGAGAGTATAAAATATTTTTTTGAAAATAATTTTTTATGCTACTCTCCTCAACCCACCTTCCCAAAAAACCCTATATTTTTTCCTGTACTCCTCCACCCCCCCC